GAGAGCAAATCAAAACTGAAAAGGGCTTAGCTTTTTGTATTCAAGAAAAAAAGAACAAAGCAAATCAACCAAGTACACGTTATTAACTTAAAACGTATCTCTCTTTATTCTTTTTAACCAAATATATGGCGAGACAAGAAGTGCAATTCAGTCTCTTGTGATACATTAAGTTTCATTATAGTTTGACTATCATAACAACAAACCAAACATTCAACAACATGTATGAGTACTGAGAAGAAAGAGAATTGAAGAGATAGAGTAGAGAGCGAAAGAGAACGAGAGAGAGAGAGAGAGAGAGAGATCTTGTATTTCTATTCAGTATCGTAGTTTGGCTATAATCACCCTATGATTAAACCATATAAAGTTCCGCAAGTAGTCTACAATACATAATAGCTATTAGGATCTCCGTCAAGTTTATTACAAGACACATTCAATTCAAAACAGAATAAAATCCTATCTACCCTTTCTACAAATAATCCAATAATACATATGAGTAGGTTTAGATTTCTGAGACAAAATAACATTTTGTTGTCTCCTACAGAAAGGAGATTCTTGGAGAGTTTCATTTCAAAAATACGGGCAAGTTCGCAGGAGCTTGGGATGGGTTGGGAGCATGGGGAACTTTTTCCATCCATACTCCATTTGCTAAGTTAATAAATATATCAATAAGGCTAATAATTTCTTAATGAGCCCGATTGTTAGCACGAGCTTGAGGTTTTGCAATTTACCCAAAAGTAAGAATGACCCTTTTGGGGGTAGCATACGTTCGACCTCTTAATAGACCTTCCAGTGTACAATCATTTTGAGCTGGAGCTCATGACTAATGTATCAATGCATGATACGAGCATGACCTTCCATATGCATAACCTACTAGGACTCTAGTACTTCGATCATAAAATCTTCTCAACTACAATGGGGAATGTCCCACTACGATACACCTATATATGGTAGTCCTTATTGGACTCCTAAATATACTAGGGGCAAAATGTAATCAGGTCGAGTAACAATAAATAACTGCAAATGTTTATATTCCCACATTGACACCAATAATAGCAACACCACCAACAATCACAAAAACAACTGTTACAATGTTAATCCTATATCCAGGACAAGTATCGCAAGGAAGGGTTGGTGTCCATGTAACACAACATAACGGTAAGTCATTATGACCCCTAGCACACTAGTCAGGTGTTAGATATGACATGTAACTCTTTTCTTTATATCCTCCCATAGTGTAAAATATCAATAAAATTAAGCAAATATGATTATGCAAAAAAATATGGAAAAAACAACTTGTAATGAAGTCAAAGGTCAGTTGCTATTCCATTTTTGGTCACACCCCTTCAGCACAATTTTAAGAGAAGTGAAACATCGTACTTGACATATCATCACCATAAGTTCAAACCTCTACTGCTCGCTATTCTTTAATCAACGATTTTCATGAGTTCATGATATTGACAATCCTCTTTCTCAATGTTCTATTTCTTACTTAGGACAGACAATTCTTCTTAGGTATTTACTTAAACACGCACAACGAACATTAATTAAATTTCAATACTCAAAAGCCACATAACCTTTGTGTTTAGATAGAATCTGCAATAAAAGGTATATAATTGGCGATTTCCATAAATTGAGACGATTCTAAATTCAATCTATTACTCAACGTAAGACAACTATCTAGATGTTCAGCCTCCAAAAATCCACATGAAGAGATTAAATTATAACTCCACCACCACGAGCGGTTGAAGGTGGCAATCGACTACGACAAGCAACAGCAATAAAATTTAGAGAGAATTAGGTTTAGGATCTCTGCCTAATTCTCTTGTGCTAGCAAGAAAATAATAACAAGTCTCATAAAATCCTAAACCTAGGCTACATATATATAGGTTACTGTAAACCCCTAATCTTATTAGGATAAACCCTATCTCTAATAGGCCCAAATGTCAATTGATTCAATTAATTCACTTCGACACACAATGGTTAAACTAGCCCAACAAGCCTAGTACATTAATAAAACAATTTTAACATCTTAAAGTAGAAGTGTTTCTATGTGGTGAACACAACTGAACATTATGATGGGGAATACAGATATGATTTAATAGAATTTGGATTCAAAGTAGAATTTGATTTACATTACATTACGATAATTTAGATTACTTGAGAATTTTTATATTTTGATTAGTTTGGGATATGTTAGAAGTTCAGTTAGACTTAATTTTTCAACCATTAAAAAGGGCCTAGGATTTCAATGTATTCAGATTATTGATTATTGATTATTGATACTCCAAATTCTTCTTCGCTATTTAATTTTCTATCTATTCCTCTCTTTTTATCTCATCTCTTCTCTTCTCTTCTCTCTATTTCTCTCTGATTCTTCTATGTTATTCTCTTTCTCATTGGGTTACATCAGAGTGAGTACTGAATATTAATCAAGTATAGTGACTTTTTGAACAAATGACAACCTTTAATCATATCGAAGAACAAATGACAACCTTTAATCCTGACGAAGGACAAGGTCCAATGCTCAAAAATTCCTCGTACAAAGTCAAAATCAGATATTTCTACAGAAGTAAAAACAGATCATTTAAATCGGCTTCTACAATAACCCAAAATATTTTACAGAAATCTTCTGTCGCAGTTAGCAATGTCTTTGCATTCGGAATAATATAATGGAGAAAATCACTTAGAAAAGAACTCAGTCTATTGGTAGAAAACAGAATTATAGACCCAGAAAATTATGATAATGCAAATTGGAAAAAAAATAATAAAAAAAAAAAAATAAACACCCCAATTT